CATTTGTGCTTTTTAGGTGAAGCTTGCACCATAGTTTTGCGTGGAGCAACACAGCAGATTCTCGATGAAGCAGAGAGGTCTTTGCATGATGCTCTCTGTGTTCTTGCCCAGACCGTGAAAGACACTAGAACTGTGTATGGTGGAGGTGAATATTAGATTCTTCATCTATGATACGTGTTTTGTAATAACTGTTCAAGTCAGACATCAAAATCTGTGTGTCCTTAATGTCTAGGTTGTTCAGAGATGCTGATGGCTAATGCTGTTGCAGAACTTGCCATCAGAACACCTGGCAAAGAGTCTGTTGCAATGGAGTCATTTGCTAAAGCCTTACGAATGGTAAGTTTGTTCAGTCAGATTGCTTGGATTAATAGACATAAAGTTTCACCAAACTTGCTAACTTTTGGCATCAGATAGTTTCAAAGTTTTGGTTGTCTAAAGGGTAAAAAAGTGAAATTTAGCAACACAACTTGGATGAGCAAATGGGAAAACTTGCTGTTTCTCTCTTAGAAAATAAGTATTGGTGTGTTAATAATGCTGCATGTTACAGAATTCTGAATGTTTAATGCTAGCCCTCTTTTGAGTGGTTCTTCCTTCTCTTAACCTGCAAGGTTAAAAGTGCAGCAGATATGTCAGCTGAATAAGCTGAGATTTTTTGTGCAATTTCATTTATGAAAGAGCAGCCTTTCCATTCTGTTGATACTCTAGTGTTGATTGTATTCATGCTCTAGTACTATCTAGAAATTTCTAATTTGCTTGAAGTTTACTCTTACTTCCTAGAAGATGCATCACAAGAAATGTTTATAGAATATTATTGTGCTAACAGGCTATCAATTTGAGGGGAGGAAAAATGCCTTCCTGTTACTTAATCTAGGGAAAACCTTTCTTAGGAAATGAAAGACCAGAGGAAAACATTTCTGCCAAGAAAATTAAAAAGCATGGTAAGACTTGGTGTTACTTCTTGAGCCAGCACCTGCAATTTGCACTCCTGTCACTTACACAGTGAACAGAATGATCAGGTGGTTAATGCTTACCAGCAAGCTCATATTCTTAAAATGAAACTGTTTCTCTGGTTGTAGTCTGAAATAGACAGATTTCCTTCTCCCCGTGTAAAAAGAACTGAAAAAACTGCTAACGTGATCCTGCCTTCTCAGGTACTCTCTTATAATAAGGTTTTAAGAAAAATCCTTAGAGAAGTATTTTGATTTTTGGGGTGTTTTTTTTTTTTTTTTTTCATTTTTCTGTGTCTTCTGATCACTGTAACACATCTGCCATACTTTTGAAACTTCTTGTTGTTAAAACTGAACAGTAAATAGTAATATCAAAGTATGTTTCCTGTTTACTAGGGCCTGCATGAATTAAAACCAACCTGTGTTTCTCCCCATAGATTCCAACAATAATAGCTGACAATGCTGGCTATGACAGTGCAGATTTGGTTGCTCAGCTCAGAGCTGCTCACAGTGAAGGGAAGACTACTTACGGACTTGGTAAGGGGCTTCATATTACTTCTGTTACTGGACTGCTGTTTGGTAGGGCAGTGAGGCTTATTAAACTTGCTCACTTGTCTTTGATACATTCAGTTGGAAGTATGCTGATCTCTGTTTGCTTTGCACAGAGCGTGGGCTGCACTTAGTCGTTTACCATTCTACCAAACTTTTCACGATAGAGTGAAATGCTTTGTTTTTCAAGGGGATGGGTTCCACCTGCAAAGAAGACTTACCTCACTCACATTGAGTCTAGTTACATGAAGCTTAAAAAGATAGGTATTGATTTAAAACCAATTTTTTTATATATATAATTGCAACATGTTAGGCTTAAATCAGGAACCTTGAAATAAAAGACTGTAATACTTTCTTTACTATTAGTGTCATTCATTTGAGCGGGTGAGTTACCATACTGCCAGCTTCCTTGTTATTTCCTTTAAAAACCCCACAAGTTAAAACCAAACAAACAAGCTCTTAATTTGTCTCTCCTTCCAGATATGAGAGAGGGTACCATTGGAGACATGGCAGCCTTGGGAGTAACAGAAAGTTTCCAAGTTAAGAGACAAGTTTTGCTGAGTGCAGCTGAAGCAGCAGAAATGATTCTTCGTGTAGATGACATTATTAAAGCAGCACCAAGGTATGAGCTGAGTGTCTGCATGGTCAGTTATAGTGGTATAGAGCAACCTTCTGTAGAAGAGTAACTGCAGAAAAGTCTTGTTCTAGAAATATTTCCATTTGTAATGAAGACTGACATCTGACTTGCTAATGTTCATGTTACATGAGGGTTTTTTTTGTGTGTTAGCAGTATAAACAGGCCTTTTGAGCCATCAGTACACTTAAATTAGCATGCCTGAGCAGTGCCTAGTTAATCTTGGTTCACCAGCTACTCATGTGCCATAGATAGCAGTAAAACATTTGCAGAAGTGACTGACTAAAATGTGAGGGGACATGCTGCTTTTCTTTTTTCTTTTGGGAAGAATTGCAGTGAAATGCCTAGGTGCTTCTGAAGTAGAATCTGTGGCTAAAACAAAACATTTGTTAAAAAGTTTGGGAAGAAATGCCTTTTCTAGGTAGGTTATCCTGAGCATGCCTGCTTCCAGGTGGTCTGCAGTGGTTTGTCAATTGCAGGGGTTTTTTACTGTGGTCAGAGGTGGTGTATTAGCTTTGAGATGATGCCGCCTTTTGTGCTGCGAGATAAGCACTAAGCACAAAATATCAACTTAAAAATCAGGGTAGGTGGGGAGGCTGGTGGACATACATTGTGTGTGAGGAATTTTCTGATTTCTTTCTTTTCTCCCCAGAAAACGTGTACCGGACAATCGCCCATGTTAAATTTTCTTCAGTACTGGATGAACACAGTGAGGATGTGTGGACCAGATCTCACCTAGTAGCTTTTTTTTAATGATCTGTTTCCTGTGAGGTTGTGGAACAGAAGCTTGAAAAGAGCAGATCTCCATCAATAGCATGTGAAATAACTGACTTCAGTTGGTTTTAACTTATTTCAGTTTCTATATGTTGTGGGGAAGAATTCACTTTCAAGTAAACCAGGGGCTTTATACAACCCTCTTTCCTTCTGTTCCTCTTCACGTTCCACTTAAAATACATGGAAATAAATAAAAAATCATATTCATCAAAGTTGTCTTTGTGTAGAAGCAAGAAGGGCAGTTCCATTCAGACAGCTGCAGCGCACACCCTTGGTCCTCAGATGCTTCAGGCATCAGCACAGAGGGTAACCAACCTTTTGGGCTGCTGTAGCTCGCTGGTTTGGGTTGGCCTGGTGCATTCAGTGAGAGTAGTTTATTCCAGTCCTGTCTGTAGGGGCCTCGAGTTGGGATCCTGGAAGTAGGTTCTGAAGATAAATACTATGTTTTTCTGGTGATAGTAGGGGGTTACTCATTTTTTGATGATAAAAGAAAGAGAAAAAGCTGAAGAGGAATTTAGTGCCCAGAACTACAACTTAACGTATTTTACAGCTTTTTACCCTAGAAATTTTATGTAGGTAGGAGTTCTGCTGAGGGGAAGGTGCAGTCTGGGAGAGATGACTAAACATTGTGTCTTTATCTGTGAAATACTGAACTCTAGCAAACTTTACAAAACCTTGCATTATAAGGTGGTTGGTGGTGAGTGGGGCAGGCTGCATTGTGCTCCTTGCCCTCCCTTCCCTTGTCATGTCTGCTGTAGCCTGTCTTTATATTGCCTTTCCTATCCAGTGGTTGCTGCAAAGGCAACGTTTTTTAACTGGGCTAGTTTCTTCATGCTCAACTCATGAAGAAGTCCATGATGCCTGCAGCACATTCTCAACAGCTGGAAGCAGGGAAAAGCAGAGGCACTCACTGCCTATGTGGGAGCCCCAGGGAAAAGCAGAGGCACTCACTGTTTGTGTGGGAGCCCCAAGAGCTGGGCCAGCTGTGACCCTCCTGGCCCTGCAAGCATAATGCAGTACCTTGGCAGACGCCAGGGCAAGGCTGCCAAAGCAGCAAGAGTACTTCCTTGATTTCAAATCATCTGTGCAAACATTTTTCTCATTAGGTTTCCTGAAACAAAAGCGAGTCTGCTTACAGAACACTCCTCCAAACTTAAACTGATGACATCTTCAGATCTCCAAAAATGACAATATGTGTTAGGAATGCTACATTGAAATATAACCATTGACCAGCAAATGAAAGCACCTTCTTGCCCACAAGTAAAATACCAAGTCAGTTCCATAGGAAATAAACCATTGAACTTTGATGTTAAAAAAGCCCAAAGCCTTTGTCCTGCTGAATAATTCTCTAAGAAGAAACAGGTTAGATAAAGAATTTGGAAAGAAAGTTTGGTTAATTCCAAAGAAGGCTGTTTCAATTCGCCAAGGTGTTAGTGTACTTTAATTTGACTACATGCTACATGGGTGCCAGCCAGATCTAAATTCAGACTTCATTTAACAAGACAGCAAGTGCTAGCAGAGGCTATGTGTTTCCAGATCATTTTTCAAGCATGTAAATGACATTGAGCAGTCACGAACTGGCACTGGCTCAAATCTGTTCTGGGAAGTCAACTGCCGCTGCTGCAGGCCGAGCTGGTGAGGCAGTTCTACTCGATGAGTGAGGCAGAGAGGGAAGTGGCTGTTCTGTGCCACCACGGGCTCCCCACCATCTTTAGAACCTGTCTTCTACCAAACTCAGTGATCTGTGCTGTGGAATCAAAAGCTGAAAATGTCATTTTGAGCCAGAGTTCTGTGTTACACAATGAAAGCAAAACATACTTACACAATGAAAAAGAGTTCAGTGCATTTTGAAGGGGATCTGAACTTGTCTGAGTTACAGCTGCAGAAATACCCAGCTGAAATCAACGGAGTGAAGTTTGCTCCAGCTTAAGTTATGTGCAAGCGTGTAACAGCAGGCTCCCAGCCCAGGGCTTTATTCATGCAAGTTTACCTTTACGGCTCTTGTGGTGGTTCTGTTTTAGTCAGGCTTCGATTTTCTTCTTTGCTACTGCATGAGAACTTGGTATGTAAAAAGCTGCCATTAATGACAGTGTTGGTAACAGAAACTAGCAGCAAAGCCTGTTGCTTTCCTCACCATCATTTAGAATCCTGCTTGGCAATAACAAAACAAGCGTGGCTGCAAATTTTCCAGGAGGAAGGCTGCACTGGTAAGAGGAGAGCTTGCTGATACGTACGCGCTGTTTCCTTGATAGCAGAGTCAGGGCTCTGCTACTGCTTCCCACACGGCAGGGAGGGAAACCTTCAAGCTGTTCCTGTGTTTCAGATAAGGCATTTGAGACAAATGCTGTGCTTACTTCACAGCAGTGACTCAACAGCAATCACTTTGAATAGTGGCATCCAGCTGAGCTTGGACACCTCAGCAAGGTGGAGGGGAGAAGGGCGAGCCATGGATGAAGAGTAGCAAGTCCATTTGTGCTCTGCACAGTCCACCCATGGAAAACATCTGAACTGTCTCATCTTTGCTGCCATCTCTGAGTGGTCCCCACATGGGTGGAGGGGGAAAAGGACAAAATCTTTGCTCTAGAGAGTGCTGGGTGCTGTGCAAAAGGGGTGACTGTACAAGAGGGTTTAGCTGTCATCTAGCTTCAAGCTGGTGCGCCTACTCCAGAAGACTAGCAAGGCAGTGTGGGGCTCCCTGAATGTCAGCAAGCGAGGGAGAAGTAGAGGCTGGGTGGTGATGTGAGCCCACTGCCACCTTTGCGAGAGTGGGCAGCTGAAGCATCAACAGGGCTCAACTTCCAGCTCAGGCTTGATGGCAGGAGGTGGCGATGGTCTCTCATTGAGTGGGATTTCTACCACTGCCCCAGACCGCTTTCGGGGTTCAGGAGTCTCCTCTGACCACCTTCCCACCCTGCGCACCCCTTTGGCCACTTTGGGTGCGTTCCTGCAGGGGTTATGGTCATAGATCACCAACTTCAGACCAGGGAGGTGAGCCAGGCTGGGGAAGAACCGGATGGAGTTGCGATCTACGTCGATCACCTCCAGGAAAGGCATGTCCAGGAGCACAGCGGGGAACTCAGACAGCAGGTTGCCCGACAGCCAGATGGTACGCAGCTCCTGCAGGTACCGCAGCTGCGTGGGGAGCGTGCGCAGCGCATTGGAGCCAGCATGCAGGGTCTTGAGCAGAGTCAGCTCGCACACCACCTCGGGCAGGTACTGCAGGCAGTTGGACTCGATCCAGAGGGTCTTGAGATTCTGCAGGAGACGGAGCTCGAGGGGCAGGCTGCAGAGCTTGTTGTTGCCCAGGTAGAGGATGCACAGCTGCTTCAGGGTGCACACGACCAGAGGCAGCGCTTTGAAGTTGTTGAAGTCCAGCGCCAGGATCTGCAGGTTTTGCAGCTGCTCCAGTTCCGGAGGCAGATGGTTCAGGTTGTTGTCACTCAGGTACAGCTTCACCAGTTCCCTAAAAGAGCAAATGTGCAGAGGCAGCCGCCTCAGCTGGCTGCCGCTCAGGTCCACCATTTTATCCACTGGCATGTCTTCTAGGTCTTCCACGAGGTACTTCTGGCACTCATTAGAGGGCATGAAAGCAACCACGGCTTTCAGACTGTTGCCCATCCTGTGACTTTTCTTTGGGGATGGCTGGGAGTGTATGTACGGAACAGGAGCCCGCCTGTGCACTGGCCTGCCAGTAACTCCGTCTTCCCAATATAAGGCTCTGTTTACATGGCACCAGCCGTTAATCTCAAGGGCTCTGAAACATTTCTGATAACCGAATGAGTGTTTGGTGATGGGGATTATGGACAGGAAGATGCAGAGCAGAGGTCTCCCTCTCACCCATACTCCTGCTCGCCCCTCCTCAACAACATTCCTTCTTGCCTCTTCCTGCAATGCACGCTGTAAATGCTCACTGATTTTGCCCCAGACCATCTCCCCAGTGCCTCAGCCCCTAACTTCTCGCTCCAGCTGTGGTGTCTGTGCAGCCAGTGCTCTCTGCAGGGATTGGCTTGAGAGAGTAAACACCACGGAAGACCAGATTTTTAAACTCAGATGTTTAGCTTTCATGAGACCTTCAGCAGAAACATCGGATGTAATCGAATTGGTGTTTAAAATACCTGTCAGGGCTCGACTGACTTTCCAGACGAGTGGCACTTCTAAGGATTTGCTTTGCAAGGTGCCAAATGCATAATTTCAGAGTGTAACTTGCCACCCAGTCCTTATCTTGAAGCTTTAACACAAATACTTGGCAAACTGCTATCTTGAGCTGTTCTACTATTTATGTTCCTAATTTAATGGTGTTTACTATAGCTCCTGGCACTCTTGACTTTGTAGGGCCTTTCTCATTACATTATGTTTTACGTCTTGTCTGAACCCCTGTTTAATATGCTCACTATCACAACCTGCCAACGCTGTCCTCCGGCCACCTTCCAACTGTGCTACTGCAGTCCCTGTGTCCCTACCAAAACCTGACAAGAAACTCCCATGAATTTAATTCCATCAAGATTCTCACTTGGTATGAGTGATATAAATACAATGTTAAGGATTATGACTATTTAGATGTGACAGTGTAAACTGTTCCCCTCCTCTCAGCAAGACTCATTGCTGTTCAGGTCAGGAGCACCTCTGATTTCTAGGAGGAAATCTTGCCTTCCCATGTGCAGGCACCTCTGTATACTTTGACTTTTTGAACTGCTTCTGTTTTAAGCTTTCCTGGGGATTATCCTACCTGTGTGTTGGACATGGCTTTACCATGACCTTTGGGTATGAAAACTGACAGAATGTTTTCATAGAATCATAGACTGGTTTGGGTTGGAAGGGACCTTAAAGATCATCCAGTTCCAACCCCCCTGCCATAGGCAGGGGCACCTTCCTCTAGGACCAGGTTGCTTGAAACCACAGCTTCTGTGGGCAACCTCTTCCACCACCTCACCACCGTCACAGTAAAGAATTTCTTCCTTATGTCTAATCTAAAACCACACTTTCAGTTTAAAGCCATTCCTCCTTGTCCCATCACGACATGCCCTGGTAAAAAGTCCCTCTCCAGATTTGTTGTAGGACCCCCTCAGGTACTGGAAGGCTGCTCTAAGGCCTCCACCAAGTGAGCCTTCCCCTGTTTTAGGGTGAAACAGCTTTTCCAGCAGCTGGCTCTCTACTTTGATAGCTACAGCTTGTTGCTGTCATTTTCCACGCTTACCATAGTTTAAGGAAGATACTTTCTTCCGACAACCTGCAGTAGGTTTCTGGGTGTTACATTCTACACAACCAAAATATGTGATTGCTGAGAGTCACACATTCTTGGAAAAACAATAGGCAAACAGAAGATCGAGAAAAAGGCACTATCAAACAGTTGAGGTGGCCTCTGATCCCTGGTCACATCTGGGAACAGAGAGCTCTGTACTGTCACTTGTTTTCCAGTGTAAAGCAGCTCTTAGCTATCAATCGAGTGTAGGCTGTAGGAGTCTTTTCCCTGCAAGATGTGTCTGTGCCATGCAGCAGCGATGCTATGAAATGTAAGGAGGGTTTCCTGGGGGAGGACAACAGAGAGAACATCTGGGAACTGGTGTTGCTGCAAGACAGAGAACAGTGAGTGCTCCAACGTGAACGCCATGAAGTAAGTTTTGGATGGAGAAGCTGGGCAGAGTATCAAGCCTGGAGAACAAAGATACGCTGCAGTCATCTGTGGCTGTGCTGTGAAAGAGGGGCGCTGAAAATACTTGCTGTCATGACAGAAGGCAGGACATGCTGGGAATAGCATCCCAACAGCACCAGCTGCTTTGCACTGAATGAGCACCTCAGAGAAACCACTTTACTGCTTGAGCACTACACACCCTGGCAGAGGACTGCTGTGGGGGGCCTGTCATTCATTCCCAGAGTTCGCAGGGCATCCTTTTCCAAGCAGGTACCCTGGAATGTCATCTGACTTATAAGAAAACAGACCCATGGCCCTCATGGTTTTTGTATGTTTCTATTTCCGAGGAGCTGTGGCACCTTCTAAAGGCAAAGCTCCCTACCCTGTAAGGCACTGTAGGCTACATGGGTCGAAAACCAAATGCATTTGGCATACATAATAATGATTTAACATTCATAGCAAAGACATGCCCCTTAGACAAATCTCATCAGGTATCCTGCAGATCAGAACAACATATAAGCCTAGGTAAAAGTATATTAGCTGTTTTGTTTAGTCATATTTTCCTTAATAATCCATATGGAGAGAAACAACTTTGCAATACACCTTATGTTTATAGGCACAGGCACTTACATAGTTCTTTCTACTTGAATTATTTCTACTAAAACTTTTAAGCTGCAGACAACTGTTTCCTGGGGATCCTCTGCATTGTAGTTTAATCATTATTCCAGCTTATCAGAATAAGTCACGATGACCTTCTGTTGCCGCATTTTGTACCTTTGTTGGCGAAATGAATGTCTGCTTGGAACACACGGTGAGATCAGAGTATTTGGGGAAAATATAACCTTCGTGTGGTGGGACAACAAAGGACTACATTTGCAATAAATGAATAATCTTGAGCTTTCTGAGAGCCAGCGACTCGATGGAGGCTCTAAGGCAAAGGCAGTCCCCTCACCAGACCCAGGGCGGTGTTTTGAAAGCCACTTCATGTCTTCAGAGTTATCCTGATGCCCTCCAATGTGAACATTAATGACTTCCCAGAAGCATTTGTGGCATTTGAGGAAAAGTTCAAGTGATAAAGGTGCTCAGCACAGACGTTGTCTTGCTCTTGTCAAAGTGACACTACTCTACCGGAGGGCATGACATCTGCTCTGCTGTGCATCAGGTGGCACATGTAGGCTCCTTGAGAAATGCCTTTGCTCCCTGGAAGTTCACAGATGACCGCAGCTATTGCTCACTGTCCTCACTGCCAGCACCCAGCTCCTGCAACTTGGTGGCTGGGACAGCTGTGGGGCAGAAAATGTGGTTGCTTGCTGAGAACTTGTGTAAAACCTCTGAGTTCGCAAGAAACAGGGAACACTGCTCACAGTTAAGGAATTAAAGACCAATTGCAGTAAAATGGAAACCAATGTAAAAGCTGTGATTTTTAGATTTTAGTAATTTTTATGCAAATTAAGACCAGAGCTGCTGGTGCTTTTTCAGATCCAAAGCTCTGCACACAGCTCTGGACACCAGCCTTTGCTGAGTTTCTGTAGCCCTCATGCTTTTGCAGGTAAGTTTGAAAAAGTAGAACGTGGGTCTCAAAATCCAGGGGACTAAAGACTACAGCTCTGAATTAGTTTATTTAAGGCAAAACACCGTGTGTTTGGGGTTTTTTCCTGTTTTTTCTTGACTGGAGTATTATTGCTAAAGCAGATGATGACTCCTGCCTCCTCCATGTTCTTGACATTCACTCTTCACTGTGCGAAACATCTGCTGTCTTTTTTTGGGAGGGTACTGAATTCCAGTTCACCCTCATGTGCTGAGCAGTTCATCTGAAATAAGTGATGTATTCCAGGGAAAAAGTTGTCATTGCTCTTTTCCCAGCATCCTAGCATAGGCCTTTGAACAAAACAGGCCGATTATTCACATTTAGCTTTGTCGCATGCCAGGCTGCAGCATGTGATTACTCACTGCTCTTCCTCATGCAGAGGAAGGATCCAGAATGTCTCACAAGTAACTCACAGTCTCAGCGCTGAGCTTCCTCGCAGGCAGTTAATGGGTCAGGGGTTGCTCTCTGTCAGATCAGCCTCTTTGACACTGTGACTTTTCCGCCAGTTGGAGTTGGATCCAAGTGTCAGGCAGGTGTGGGAAGCGCTAACCTCAGGAAACTCGCAGGAAACAAACCCAAGCGAACGCTTCCAAATGTCTTGCTGAAACCCGCACAAAGCCACTGGCTGTTTATTACTGTGTGTTGCAGCCTATCATGGTTTTTACTTTCGATCCCCATTTTTTCATGTGGCAGTCACATTTATGTTTAGTCTGGAGCTCTCCCATAAATAGGGAATTAAACTTCAGTTGCTAAGGGACGACTTGTCATAACCCTATCAAATGCCCTGCTGAAATATATCCATGTAAAAGGGAAATGGTTACATGTTAGGTTCTCTTTCTCTGCATTGGACACATCTGGGCTGCTTGTCACTAAAATGACCTTGAAAAGAAGTTTACTTGGAGGGAACCAGGCAAGTTCCTGGACCACGTCCTCTTTCCCTTCCTAACAGTAGCCAAGCTCATACCATGTATTTATGTAAATGACACTAAGGATTGTGAATAAAATGTTTATTTGGTCTACAAATAAAATGTCTATTTGGTCTACAGTGTGCCCTGGTTATCTGTGTCTCAGTAGATCCACTGGACACTGCTATTTGCACAATCCAGCGGTTACTGTGAGAGCAAATGAATCACTTTTCTGCCAAAGCACTGACCTCCTGTGATTGATTGACCTGGCGAACAGCCCTCTGCTGACAACAGGCTATAAAAAAGGGACTTCTGAGTAAATGAGTGTTGTTAGACTCTGACCTGCTTGGAGCCATGCGGGTGATGCTGTTGGCTGTGCTTTATGTCCCGTTAACCCTGGCCCTGGAACGGTAAGAAAATACATCTAGCATCGCTAGCACATTTCAGATGCTTTCCAAGGTGCTCGTTGCTACTTGAGCTCTCAAAAAAGAAGCAAATTTAACAATAAAAGAGTGTATGAGATCTCTAGAAAGGAGAGCCAGTGAATTTTTGTGCGTTTATGTTGTTTATGT